ATTATATTTCTGGATGAGCAGGAATATGTGTTCTTGATCTTATAACTCACTTGGTTAGGTCCAATAATGGTATCAGCAGAGTGAATATGTGGACAAAGCTGGCAACGGGGTTTGTTGCAAGGGAAGGTACCAGGGTTGGTATTAGTGTGGCATGTCCTGTGGTTGTTGGTAAGAATCATCTTGAGTTTCGGTGGTTGTCTACAGGAGACTATGGGTCTGTCTCCCAGAGCCTCTTGGAGTTTAGTGTCCTGTTCCAGTATAGGCTGTAGTTTATTGATAATGTGTCGGACCAGCAAATTACATGTATCTGAGGTGCCAAAGGTTTGCCCTTTGATGAGGCCTGGAAACTGAACATCACTCTATACATTCCAGATCTCACTAGCTTTGCCTCCTTCTGTTCCTGCAGTTGGGCCTTACCTTTCCTTCCCACTGCTGGGACTCATCATCTGTCCCCAGTACAGCAACCTTCTCTTCTCTGACACCCCCACTTGTCCCCCTCTGGGCCATCCATCCAAAAGACTATGACTGTTTCCCTTGCCAGTCAGCCTGATGACATCATTCCTTCCCCATGGAGTCCATCCCCCCTGCCACCTTCTTCCTCTCAAAATCAGGCTGCTTGGCCTTTTTTACTCTTGCTGAGTTTTTTAATTTCACTGACATCCAGTGGCAAGGAGTTCCACAGTCTGTGTGGGAAAAGATTTCCTTTTTAACCATTCTGAATTTGCCACCTTTTTAATGTCACTCACCGTGCCCTTTGTCCTTCCATTACTAGTCAGGGGAACAGAAACCCTGCCAAACAGAACTACTGTATCATCCCCCCTTTCTCTTTCCATCGCTGTGTGATCTCCATCCCTTATTGAGGTTAACAACCATACACATCGATCTATCACAACCTCTTGTTCACATCAAGAAGTCCTGTGGCACCTTATAGACTAACAGATTTGTTGGAGCATAAGCTTTCGTGGACAAAGAAAGTGGGTCTGACGAAGTGGGTCTTTGCCCACGAAAGCTTACTGTCCAACAAATCTGTTAGGCTGTGTCTAGACTGGCAAGTTTTTCCGCAAAAGCAGATGCTTTTGCGGAAAAACTTGCCAACTGTCTTCACTGGCCACTTGAATTTCCGCAAGAACACTGACTTTGTACTGTCTGAAATCAGTGCTTCTTGCGGAAATACTATGCTGCTCCCGTTCGGGCAAAAGTCCTTTTGCGCAAAGCTTTTGCACAAAAGGGCCAGTGTAGACAGTTCGGACTTGTTTTGCACAAAAAAGCCCCGATCGCAAAAATGGTGATCGGGGCATTTTTGCGGAAAAGTGTGTCTAGATTGGCACGGTGCTTTTCCTCAAAAAGTGCTTTTGTGGAAAAGCATCTGTGCCAATCTAGACGCTCGCCACAGGACTTCTCATTGTTCTTGCAGATTCAGACTAACATGGCTACCCCTCTGATTCTTGTTCACATCGTTATCAGGCATTTCCTTCTCAGTCATCCCCCAGCCTCACTGCGTTATCACATCTCCATCTGCAATAAGCCTTGTTTACACTGTGTTTTCTCAGACAAAGGAGCAACTCTTAGGTCTGAGCTGGTGCAATCCGCCTTCCCCTCCGAGGCCACTTGGGTAGCACACAACCTCATTCTAACCACCCTCCAGGCACAGCTGCTAACTTCTGTTTTTGTGGGCCAGTGCTTTTGAAGAGGTGTGTGTGGCTGGAGGAATTCTGAGTTTTGTGGGGAGGCTATTTTCAGCATATTTAGACACTTCTTTTATATTCCCATTATTGACTGTGTCTACCTTTGTACCTTTTAAATGTTTTCGTTGTTATGAACCTCATAATGACAGCATCACGAAGGTCAGTAAATTAAAATCATTTCAATCAGCTACAAACTGTCTTCACTAACGTCCCCGTTTGAAGACACTGTGCCTCGCTGAAGCTTCCTGGATGAAACTGTCACCCATTCTTAGGAATTTGCAGTACTCTAGAAACAAAGTGCTTCCAGAGTACTGCAAGCGACTCCAAGGTCTCTTTCTTGATGAGTAGCAGTTAGTGTGGGCTCCATCATTTTGAATGTATAGTCGGGATTATATTTTGCCACTTGCATTACTGAGCACTTAATACTGAATTCCATCTGCCATTGTGTTGCCAAGTCACACAGTTGTGTGAGATCCCTTTGTAACAAGAGCCGTCCTTCCTCATATGCAGAAGATGCAGCTGCAGGGGCAACCAAAAATTTGGCGCACACTGGGTCTTAATGTCCATCCACCCTCATCTTCCTATCTCTGTTCTGAGGCTCTGCTTCTTCTGGAGAGAATCTAGTTAACTTAAAAGCGAAAAAGCCAGCCCGAGCTATTCACAACACATTGAACCTGTGTAAGAGCCATTCAAGTGGTAATTGGGCCATTTAAGGGTACATCTAGACTTCATGCCTCTGGCGACAAAAGCATGTAGATTAGACTACCCGGCATAGGAAAATGAAGCGGTGATTTAAATAATCACCACTTCATTTAAATTTAAATGGCTGACATCCTGAGCCAATCAGCTGTTTGTCAGCTCAGCGCGGTAGTCTGGACGCTCCATGGTCGACATCAAAGGCATTTGTCGACCGCCCTGTTATGCCTCCTGAGATGAGGTTCACCTGGGAGGTCGACAAATGCCTTTGAACAGTTGTGTGAGATCCCTTTGTAACAAGAGCCGTCCTTCCTCATATGCAGAAGATGCAGCTGCAGGGGCAACCAAAAATTTGGCGCACACTGGGTCTTAATGTCCATCCACCCTCATCTTCCTATCTCTGTTCTGAGGCTCTGCTTCTTCTGGAGAGAATCTAGTTAACTTAAAAGCGAAAAAGCCAGCCCGAGCTATTCACAACACATTGAACCTGTGTAAGAGCCATTCAAGTGGTAATACAGGCCTTTGCCAACGTCAGGTATAGACCATCAGTTTCTGAATTTATCGTGTTAGTCTACAGGGCTTTAGTTTAAAATTTGCTGACGTTTATAAAATGACATCTCTAAAAATTGCTATTCCCCTCCCTTGGTCTGCCGTTGGGCATAGGGGCACCAGTTTAGTGGTACTGCGTAGGGCCCCATAAATCCTAAATATGGTCCTGTTTGTAACTCTTTGTTGTCTATTTCGGGCTTACCTGTCTTGAGTAAAACTTAAAAAACAACAAATGGTCTGGTAGCACTTTAAAGACAAACAAAACATGTAGATGGGATCATGAGCTTTCATGAGCACAACCCACTTCTTCAGATGACCCGTCAGATGAAAGTGCTACCAGGCTATTTGTTGTTTTTTAAGTTTTTCCTGTTACAGACTAACTCGGCTCCCCCTCTGAAGCTTTCGTGGGTAGTTCTGTATATTTGCAAACTTTGCCACCGCACTGTTTACCTCTTTTTGCAGACCATTTCTGAATATGCTGAACAGCCCTAATCCCAGACCGGCACAAGCAGCTCCAGGGACAGCTCTATTTACTTCTCTCCATTTTGCAAATGAGCCATTTATTCCTACCCTTATTTCCTATCTCTTCACCTAGGAATGCTTTTGGGATCATCTAATGTGTTAAATTTGATGTAGCCTTTTGTTAGCTTAATCACCCTGCCTCTGTTTATAAACAAGCTCCCTGTCCCAAGGGCAGACAAGATCAGCTGCACAGAACTCATCACATTCCCCACTTAGGCTCTGACTGGCAGGTGCTACGCACCCTCCATTCTTTTTTCATGGGTGTGTGAATCTCAGAGCACCCACTGAGTCCATACCTGAGCCTCCAGGCTTTGCTTTAACTGGGAAGAGAGGGGTCATGCTGCAACGGGGCATTAGAGCCATGGCCACTTCTATTTTGTCTTCTAAATTTGCAATGTGGGGGAAGAGCAAGGAAGTGAAGAGAAAATGAAAAATAGAAATACCCATGCCTCCCAAAGCCTGGCTGCTGCGGTGGCAGCATCAAAGGTCTAACCCAAGTTTGCGGGTTTAACCCAAGTGTCCCTCTCCTTGCTCTTCCCTTGGAAGGGGGTTCACTTACCCAAGTCATCCATTGCTCACAGCTCTCTCTCCCCTTTGCTCTGAGGGGAGCCAAGACGCGTTGGGTGGTAGGATCACAGGGGAAATGAGCGACTGGCTCCTGCAAGCTCTTTCAGTTCCTCTCGTCGGTTGCACTTCCTCTCTGTAGAGGCCGGGGATTTTTTTTATTGTGGCGGGTCACATGTTTCAAATGGAGTGTGATGTGCTCAAATCACTGAGCAGGGAAAGCAGGTAGAGTCTTACAGATCTACCCCAAAGGTGAGCCGGGTGCTTTCTTCCATGGGATCAAGACACTCTGCTGACCTTGTGTGCAGGAAAGCATTTGTACACCGGGAGGCCATCACTGCGCTCATTCTGGTGGGAATGAATGCGTGGAGAACCCCCCATGGTGGGTGAAAGTCACTCAAAATTTATGGGGACTATTAAATGCTCAAGAAACCACCCTGTAATGTTGATATCTTTGTTACCATTTTATTCCAAGCCTACCCTCTCTGGGGAAAAAGTCTCAGAGGGGTACCTATATTAGTCTGTAACTTTAAAAACAATGAGCAGTTCTGTGGCACCTTAGAGACTTACAACTATATTAGGTCATGAGCTTACATGTCTAAAACCCACTTCTTCAGATGAGTTGGAGTGAAAATTACAGTATCCAGGGTATATATAATAGCAAAAGCGGTTACCTGTCAATTGTAGGACCAGTGTTAAAGAAGCTAGTTAAATCAGATTGGATGTGTCCCATTCATAGCATTTGATGTGAAAATGTGAATATCAAAGGTGGGGGAAATTGCCTTTGTAGTGCGTTAACCAGTTAATATCTTTATTAAATCCTACATAGATCATGGAATGGCAGCTCCAGCTTGATAGCATCCAGGAAGCTGGAGGAATGTGCTCCAAACCAGTTTCTGGCCTAAATGCAGTCCAGAGGTCCCTCGACCTTTGCCAGATTTGCAATCTCTCTCATACACACATACCAGCCTCTGTTCAACAGCAGAAACATTCCACCTAACTTGCTTGCTGTGTGTCCCAGAGCAAATCAGCACAGCCTGCAGGCTGTCCAAAGGAAGCTCTGTAAGAGGATATGCTCATGCATGTAGGACAGCCAGCCAAGTTCAAAACAGAGCAAAGGGGACTTGGGGGATTATGGGCCATTTCTGGAGGCCTGTCAAAATGCAACAGACAATTAAAGTGTCCACATTGGCTCCCCCCAGCACTGTATCCAGAGAGCAGCAAGCTCTACACTTCTCTTTGGTGTGGTTTACCTACAACGCAGCAACTGTGGAGTTTGCATGCAATAAGCGCCTTGCTAGTGTGGACACCGCAGGAGATATAGTGCTTGCCAGTGTAGACTTGGCCTTAAGTACTGACTTGCTGAACCAGGCTAGGCAGAAATACTAACAGCTAGTGAGTTCACTGTTAGTGATCACTTTACAAAACAAAAGACTCCTCATGAAGCTTTACTTAGTGCTGTCTTTGAGCAGTGGGCAAGGGCAGGTTAAATCTGACTAGGGCTCTCAGGTTAGGTCTACACTGTAATGGTAAATCAGAAAAAGAAACGCAATTTGTCAGATGCAAATTGTGTATCTTTTTCTGCTTTACGGTCAAAAGAGGCTTTTCTGAAAGTTGGCGCATCTACACAATGCCAAATTTCGAAAAAAGTGCTCTTTGACACACCCCTTATTCTTCATAAAACTAGGTTTACAGGGATGGCGAAAGAGCGCGTCTGCTTTTCTGAAAAAGTGAACGTGTTCCTTGGATGTGGCATTGCTTTTCCAGGATACCAAAAGCAGTGCAGTCTAGATGTAGTCTGAGATGGAGCCCACACCTTCTGGCAGGGACATCTGTCCACACCTCTTCTTACCTTCACAGAGGTCTGGCATTTGAGCCCCTGGCTTAGCGAGTTCATTTCAGTTGAGGATGGCCCCCTCAGCTAGGCCAGGATAAGCACTGTTCTGCTACCCTTCACTGATACAATAAATATAACAACATTGATAACGTTTCATTACCCCTGAGTGATTTGTAACCCACTTAAGTGATCTGTAACCCAACATCAACCAAAGATGAGAACTTCGACTCTGCTGGATACCTCAGCAGAATGGGAGTATTCAAGTAGTCTTGAAGCCTTTTCCCTTCTCCAGCTAGCTGTCCTGGGAGAGTTCATTCAGATCCCGTTTACTTTAGAATTGTGGGAGCAGAAGGGACCTCAAGAGGTCACCTAATCCACAATAATTTTCGACAGGGGGCCACGACAAGATTTTGGAAAGTGGTCGAGGGCTGCACTCTTCCGTGATATGAATGGAAGAGATGCGGGGTCTGGGATAGAGGTTGGGTGCAGAACGGAGCTTGGAGTAAGGGATTGGTGTGCAGGAAGGAGAGAGGGGTCTGGGCAGGAGTTTTGATGAAGGAGGTGGTTGTGTCCTAGAGCAGGGGACTGGAGTGCAGGGATTTGGGATGTGACCATGGGTAGGAGGGGATTGTGATCTGGGGCAGGAGATTGGGGTGCCAGATCTGGGAGGGGGTATGGGTATAAGAGGTGGACAGAGGGTTTAAGTGTGTTGAGTGGGCGGGGGCAGAGAGTTGGGGCAGGAAAGGGTTGGGGTGCCAGAAGCAGGCTGTGGCCAAGAGACTTACTTGTCAGCTGTCAAACTAGCCTGCCTGCCTGCAGAGCTTAAAATGTTTCCCTGCCAGCCAGCCTGCCTGCTTGCCTGGCCATGTGCTTCATGAATAACTGAGCAGAGGAGAGGGGGCGTGGTTCTTCTTGACTGCCTGTTACTCCAACAAGCACTCCCATTGGATGGGATCTGCCAGAAACAGGCCAATGGGAATGTGCTGAGGACAAAGCCGCTCCTAAAACTTTCCCCTTCCCCCAGTTTTAAAACAGAAACGCAGCCCTGCAGCTGCATTTCTGCACACATGGGGGGCAGCGGGGTAGGCTGGGGAGCCTGCCTGGGGCTCCCCGCTGCCTCCACAGCCCAGATTTTGCCCAGGCCTGGTCTAACCTGTTCTAACAATCTCCAATGATGGAGATTCCACAACCTTCCTAAACAATGTATTCCAGTGTTTAACCACCCTGAGGGTATGTCTACACTACCCTCCTAGTTCGAACTAGGAGGGTAATGTAGGCATACCGCACTTGCAAATGAAGCCCGGGAAATTCAAATCTCGGGCTTCATTTGCAAGTGCGGTATGCCTACATTACCCTCCTAGTTCGAACTAGGAGGGTAATGTAGGCATACCGCACTTGCAAATGAAGCCCGGGAAATTCAAATCTCGGGCTTCATTTGCAAGTGCGGTATGCCTACATTACCCTCCTAGTTCGAACTAGGAGGGTAATGTAGGCATACCGCACTTGCAAATGAAGCCCGGGAAATTCAAATCTCGGGCTTCATTTGCAAGTGCGGTATGCCTACATTACCCTCCTAGTTCGAACTAGGAGGGTAATGTAGGCATACCGCACTTGCAAATGAAGCCCGGGAAATTCAAATCTCGGGCTTCATTTGCAAGTGCGGTATGCCTACATTACCCTCCTAGTTCGAACTAGGAGGGTAATGTAGGCATACCGCACTTGCAAATGAAGCCCGGGAAATTCAAATCTCGGGCTTCATTTGCAAGTGCGGTATGCCTACATTACCCTCCTAGTTCGAACTAGGAGGGTAGTGTAGACATACCCTGAGTTAGGAAGCTTTTCCTAATGTCCAGCCTAAATCTCCCTGGCTGCAATTTAAGCCCTATTGCCTCTAGTCCTATCATCAGAGGTTAAAGAAAATAATTTTTCTCCCTCCTCCTTTTAACAACCTTTTAGGTACTCGAAAGCTGTTATCAAGTCCCCCCTCAGGCGTCTCTTTTTCCATACTAAACAAACTCAATTCTTTCAGTCTTCCCTCAGCTCATGTTTTCAAGACTTTTAATCATTTCTGTTACTCTTCTCTGGATCTTTTCCAATTTCTTCACATCTTTCCTGAAGTGTGGTGCCTGGAACTGAGCACGATACTCCAATTGAGGCCTAATCAGCACAGAGTAGAGCGGAAGAATGACTTCTCGTATCTTGCTTACAACACTCCTGTTAATGCATCACAGAATGATGTTTGGTTTTTCTTTTTCTGCAACAGCATCACACTGACTCATACTTAGCTTGTGTCAAATATGACCCCTTGGCCCCTTTCTGCTGTACTCCTTCCCAGACACTCCCTTCCCATTTTGTATGTGTGAAACTGATTATTCCTTCCTCAGTGGGTACTTTGCATGTATCTTTATTGAATTTCATCCTGTTTACTTCAGACCATTTCTCCAGTTTGTCTAGATCATTCTGAATTACAGTCCTATCCTCCAAAGCACTTCCAGTCTCTCCCAGCTTTGTATCAATGTACTCTCTATGTCATTATAAAAATCATTGCTGAGGATACGAAACAGAACCAGTCCAAAAACAGATCCGTGCAGAACCCTAATCATTATTCCCTTCCAGCATGACTGTGAACTGTTGATAACTACTCTGTGGGAATGGTTATCCAACCAGTTATGTACCCACTTTATAGTAGCTCCATCTAGATTGCTTTTCCCTAGTTTGTTTATGAGAAGGCCAAGCAAGACCATATCAAATGCCTTACAAAAGTCTATATACCACATCTATTGCCTCCCCCTTATCCACAAGGTTTGTTACCCTGTCAAAGAAAGTTAGCAGGCTGGTTTGACATGATTTGTTCTTTACAAATGTATGCTGGCTGTTATTTATCACCTTATTACTTTCTAGATGTTTGCAAATGGATGCCTTAATTATTTGCTCCATTATCTTTCCATGTACAGAAATTAAGCTGATTGATCTGTAATTACCTGAGTTGTTCTTATTTCCCTTTTTATAGATGGGCACTATATTTGCCCATCTATAAATGTCAAAGTCATGCCAGGACTATTTATCATCTAGACCAGGCATGTCATACTGGCATCTGGGGAGGCCGCATGCGACCCGATGGAAATTTTTTGCGGCCTGCCAGAGCATTTTTATAAAAGAACGACGTGTGGCCCACTGGCCGCTCAGAGCATGCCAAATGCCTGCTCACAGCCAGCCGGGCCACTCTGCACCGCAGCAACTGCTCACGGCCAGCTGGGCCACT